GCCTGGGTCCAGGGCCCCCGTGAGCCCAGCCAGCGCCTTCACACTAGCCACTTCTGCAGGAGGTAGGATTTAAAGTGGGGGCTGTGGGTGGCAGGCAATTTCCTTCTCACAATAGAGGTGCTCCCCTAGGAAAAACACTAACTTACCCACTGAGGGGTGGCCCTGGGGTGCGGCCCTCCCCACTTCAATCCTTCACCCTCAGAAGAGGAAACAGGCAACTCTCCCTTTCCCCAGTCCCCAAACTCCTGATCCAGAAGGATAAAACCTCTGGCATGAAAGGAGGCTTAGAGAGGAGAGAAAGCTCAGAGGTCTCAAAATTTCATATCATAAGGGAAGGGTGGCGGTAGAGTGGCTGATTATTTTCTGGTCCCAAAAAAGCAGGGGCCTGGGGACCCCCTTCCCAGACTTGGGCCCTCTCTCCTACCTCCCCCCCCCCTCACTGGAGCTCCCTCCTGGGGAAACTTCCCTTTTCCTTGGACTGAGAGGCAGGGTGGGTGCAAGAAGGGGGGTTAAGGCCCTCTCTCCCGCTGGTCCTCTCACAACCCAGCCCCCCACTCCCCTGACCCCTACTCCCAGGCAGAGCAGGAAGGAATACTTTCTAAGGATTACCCTGCAGCTACAGGAGAGGGGACTGCACTGATGGGGAGTTGTCTAAGTGTCCCCTCTGGGGAGCCTGGTCCAATGCTCCCTCCAGGCCCCCAGCACGTCCTAAGGGACTCATCCCATGGGAAGGAAAGAAAAGGAGAGAAGGTGTAGGACTATGTATGAAAGAGCAGAAGCTGGGGCATGAGAGTGGGAGTTGCAGGACTGAAAACGTGGGCCCCAGACCTGAAACCAAAGGCAAATGTAGATAGCGTGTGTGGGGAGGTGGTGGTGAGGGGGTGCTAATTCACCCGAGGCCTCCCCTTCCGCCCCATCCCCCTAAATAGCTTGGGCAGAGGAGAGCCAGATGGAAGAGGAAAACAAAAATCTCTTCCATTCTTCTTTTTCCCCTGGCCCAGTTCCCTAACCCCCCCCCCATCTCTTTGGAGGGGGGGAGTTAAAAGCCCATTAAAGTGCAGAGCCCCCCCAACCTCGTCCCCCACCCCAACCCTTTTGAATCTCCTCACAGGATGTGCATAGGGTGGGATTTGGCCCCGGTTGCCACAGCAACTGCAGTGGGAGTTCCCAGACGCTAGGCAACCCCCCTGTGACCCTCGCTGACCTGTCACCCGCACAACCTGAGGACAATAGGAGTGCGGCTCTGGAGGCCCAGGACGCCTTTCAGCGCAGCAGCCCCGCCAGCAGCTATGCAGTCCCCACTGGGCCTGCTCGCCCGCCCGGCCCCAAGTCTAGCTCTCCTTGACCAGGGCACCCAGGCTGGCCCGCAAGATCTCCGCAGGCCCTCCGCCTCCCAGAAGCTGGCACACACTTCTCCCAGCTCTCACTGCGCCCTAACAGAGAGCCCAATGGGTATCTGTGCTAACCCCGAGGAAACTGCACACACTGGGAACATTTTCATACAGGTGAAATCAGATTAAAATAAAAGGCAAGGGCAACCTTCGAAGAAAAAAGCCATCAGAGGGGAACTATTGCGGGGCGGGGGCGGGGGGGGGGTGAGCAAGGAAGAAGGACTTTGCCTTGGTGAAGGGGATTGCTGGGCAGCTGGTATGTCTGCTAGGTCTGGGGTATTCTTTAACAGCAGCTGGGAAATCACCAACTCCAGCTGGCCGACAGGGTCCCTGGCGCAAACTAAGGTTCGAAGTGTGTCTGCTGAACGAACCCGTGCGCCAAGGCCTACCACACTCCCCATGCATTTTGCGCGGGGTAGATTCTCCATGAGAGGATAAGACTGGAGACTCTGGGAAAGCCCAAGGACAGAGTGGGCAGACATGTGTGGCTCTGCCACTCACCTAAAAGTGTGTTGGGAGGGGGAAGCGGGGAGCTAGGTGCTAACTGCCCCAACGGGTGAGCCAGCTAGGGACCCTTTCTCCATGAGAGGGGCCTGGCAGCCAAGCTATGTCCCCCCCACCCCCAGCCCCAGCCTCTGTTTAAACAAGCTCTGGCCTGCTGTTGCATGGAAACAGGCGCCTGCTCTTGTTCCAAAGTGACGTGGCTGCCCTCTTCAGCACTGTTTGTTTCAGCCTAAAGTCCTGTCACCAGTTTGACTTCTGACTCGCCCTGTTTATCTCTCTCTCTCTCTCCTCTGTCAACTCATTACTCCCAAAGGCCAAGCTTGCGTTTGTTTCCAGGGCTTGTTTACCCAGAGCAGAGGGACAGGGACCAAGACACAGAACGACAGAGGGAGAGGGCCCAGTGTACCGCCACAGACCCCGCCCCGCCCACAGCAACCTCCTTCCTCTGGAGTGGCTACTTAGGCCAGTTAACAGTGTTGCTTCTCTATTTGTTTGTTTCCAGAGCCCTTTTAGGTTGGGAATGGAGTGCCCTCATTCACGCATCAACAGACATTTATTTAGCACCTACTATGACGCAGGCCTTGTTCCTTCCATTCCCTAAAGAGGATTGTGTGAGTGACAGGAGCAAAAAGGAGGCTATGCTGAGCCCTGAACTAGGAACTGGGAGACCTGGGACATCTGGCTGCAGCCTTCACCATGTCACCTGGACAGATCAGTGCCACCTCTGGCTACCCCGTCATCTGTGAAATGGGAATAACAACAGCAAACCCCCCAGACAATTATATGACGCAACCTATGGGAAAGACCCAAAGCAGCAAACAGACAGAAGGTATTTGTTTGTTTGTCCTTGAAGGACTTCCTGGTTGGGACTGAGAGGGAGGAGGAACCCACCCGGTCAGGCTCTCTTTCCTAGAGCTGTGTTAGCTCACAAATAGTCAGCAACATTTGTTGCTGAGGGCCAGGAAGTGTTACCCCTGAAACTTCCCCCCAAACCTCACTCATATATCGGGGGGTGGAAGGATGGCCTCCAGACTGATTTCATTTTAATTGAAAATTTTGTATTTTTAATTTTGCAGGGCTCTTTTCATAGTTTGGAGCCAAGAAAACCGTTTTTAAGTCTCAAATATTTTCCTTGGCCCCGGGCACTACGCCCATGGTGAGCCCAAATGGATAAAACAGCCCTCTGCCTGCCTCCAAATCTCCACCCCAGTTTATTTGTGAAACAGATATAGGATTTTCCAGGACTTTGGGATATTCCCCAAAACAAACAAGAATAACTGGAACGTGGAATATAGACGGTAAAACACGGCATGTGTGCAACGCAGAACGGAGAAACCTGATCGGTACAGACAGTTCTGTCTCTCCCCACCCCACACATCTCCCCAATTATCCAGATATCTGTTCACTCTTCACTTTAAATAATTTTTAAAAGACATTTCCAGTTTCAGGTTTTTTCCTGCCCACCCCCTACCTCCCATTCAAAACTTTTCATTGCTCTGTCTGCATAGAAGTGTGGGAGGGGAAGCGGCCCTTACAAAATGGGTGGCCTTGAAGCCTCATGGTGGGTGTATTTTGTCATTATTTTGATAAGGGGTCGGATTTTGCCCTTTGACCTTCTGTCCCCGGTAGATGTCGCAGACGCTGTGGGTCTCTCCCCCAGAGATTCTGCTTAGGAAGGCTTGGGAGATGCAAGAAAGCTCCCAAGGACCATTTCCCTGGGGAAGAAAGACGGGCCCTTCCCACTCAAGCCACCACTGCTTGTAAGAAGAAGTGATTTTTGAAGCCCTTAGTTCTGTTCACATCCACAGCCCACGTGTACAGGGGTTTCACACCCAAACTGCCCCTGATCCTAACAGCCCTGTACTGGAGGCACCGAGGCGGCCAAGGTTCAGGGAGGCCCAGTACTTGGCCAAGGTCACACTAAGGGGCAGGCTAGGACTCAAGCCAGGGCTGTTCCATTCCCGTGTTAGTGCTGGCTGACCAGCTCAGCGCAGGGTGCCCAGCTTCTGACCGTGCTGCTTCCTGTCTGACCTCAGGCCCCAAGGAATGGGGTGGGAAAGGCCCCCTAGGGGCTATGGCATGAGGGGAGGAGCCCCAGGGTGACCCCGGGAGACAACGTGAGGGCAACACATCTCTGCACATAAGGCAGGGGTCGGGGCACGGAGGGCAGGGCAGGCAGGACCTGAGTGTTCCTCATTTCCAGCAGAGGCCCCCAAGGGCCAGTGCTACCAGCAGTGATTCGAGGAGCAAGGAGTCAAGTAAAAGGAGACTCTCAAGGCCGGGGCTGGCTAGGCCGGTTCTCCTGAACTTGTCAAGCACGATTCTCCCTGTTTCCCGGGTGGGGCTGGGACCTGGGGCCCCTGTTCTGTCATCACTCAACCAGGCTCCCCACCCTAGGGCCTCTTGATCTGCACAACAGCTGGTTTTGAACTCCTGAACTCTGCAGTTCAGGGTGGGAATGATGGAGGGGAAGAAAGCGGATATAGACAGGGGTTCCCACTCTGAGCCCTAAAAATGGAGGCCTGGCTTTGCCTCTGATTCTTGGCCTTTTCCCAGCTGTTTTGGGCTGGTGGCTGGAAGTTTAATCTCTGCACAGCTTGGGTCAGGGGCCCAGGCAGAGATGGGGTTGGGGGTGGGGATGCTTTACAATACAAATAAACTGGAGATACCCCCTATGTGCACAGCTCACCCCCTTTCCCAGTGAACATACTTCTAAAACAAGGATCTTTCCCCAACCCTGTTAACTCAGCCAGTATGCGGGAGAGCCTGGTGCCTGGCCATTGGAGACGCACACCCTCAGGACTGCTTCCCAGTCTGTCTATCCTGGTGGGCCTTTCTGAGACTGTTCTAAGCTTCCGAATCTCAGGACCCAGAGTCCCACTTCTTTCTCTTGAAAATGCAGCTCTACCTTTGTGTTAAGGGGCCACCAGAATGGGAGGGCTCAGAGGGAGTCCCTGGAGGCTGGACCCTCCCAAGAATGTTCAAGTGAAGCTGCCTGGCCCTGAGCCGTGGCACCAGGTGGCCAGGATGGAGCAGGAAGAAGCCCTGTGTACCCCTCCCCCGTCCCCAGCGGCCGGCCGAAGAGGGGACCCAGCTCCTTCCTACCTGTTGCTGCTGGAAGTGCAGCAGATCCGCAGGGCTCATCTCGCCGTTGCTGTCCGCTCCCGCCGCTGCGTCCCTGCCTGCGCCGCCTCCAGCGGTGCCCGCAGCGACTGCCCCGCCGCCGCCACCACTGCCATCGGCCTGCCCGGAGAGGCTGCCCACACCGTTCTGACCAGAAGGAGCTGACCTGATTGTCTCCGAGGCGGATTCCACCATCATGTCGCTCTAGCGGGACCTGGAGCGGGAGGAGAGACATGGGGGAGGGGCTGAGCTCCAAACTAGACAGGCAGGGCAGGTTCCACCCAGGGTAGCAACTGATGGCCCTCAACAAACCGCCCCAATACCCCCACCTAACACCGCCACCCCAGCCCTGGGGCATCCCCTCCTCCTCTTCAACTTCCTGGGGGCTACTTCTGGGACCCCTCTTAGGGCACAGCCTCTCCCCGTGTCCTGCTTCCCCAAGAACCCAGTAAGGGGCAGCTCCAAACTGAAGATGTCCCCTCCCCCCAACTTTTCCTTGGCTGGACTTACAGAAGACCTCTGCAGAGGAAAGACGGCAGGCAATGCTTATGCCCCCTAAACCTGTTATGGCCTCTCTGTCCAGGCCAGGGCTTGGGGGCATGGGGAGAAGAGGGGAGAGGGTTCTGCAAGGACTTAAAAGCAGAGGAGCTATTGTTCACTGGGACTCCCTATAGAGCTGCAGCCTCCTCCCCCGTTGGCACAAACACCTGTAACAGCCATTGTGTTTGTTCCTCTAGATGGGGGGAGTTCCCCCAGGGCAGGGGGCCTCCTTAAAGAGTCTCTGTCCCCAGGGCACAGAGGCCCCAATCAATGTTTGTTCCTTAGCAAGAATGGCTGCCATTTGTCCAGCAGCTACTGGGAGCCAGACTCAGAGTGGTGGAGCTGTGCAGCAAAGGCAGCTGTGGTCCCTTTCTCTGACTGTCCATTCTAAAGCTGGCAGGCTAGTGTCTGGCCAAAAGTAGACACTCAGTAACATTTTGTCTCCACAGGCACCCCATGATTCCTAAACGCTGAGAGTTATTACCATCCTGACTTGACAGATGGGGAAGCTGAGGGTCCAGGCTATGGGAATTTATGGAGGCAAGGAGTCAAGGCCTGAATCCTATACCCTCCTCCCCCCACGCCAATTGACACCCATGAAGCGGTAGAAACATCCCCAGAAAGAGAGAGGGTATGTTTGGGAGTGTTAAGGGTAGTAAGGAGAAGGAGGAGGCCTAAGCTTCTTTCTACAGCTTATGGAGGTCCCACTATTTCAGGGGCTTGTACATATAGTCTGTGATGGCGGGGCTTTAGCTTGTAGAGCTGCTCTCAAAGTCTGGGATGTCTCAGACCATCCCCCAAGGCCCTTTGAGAGGCACGTGGATTTCAGTAAAATAGGACACAACTGGTATACACCACTGATCCTCAACACACATCTTAAACTCCCTAAAACTCAGTTTCCTTGTCTGTAGAAGTAAATACACCCCAGCCTCCTGGAGTCCTGTAAGGAGTAAATAAAACACATACAAACCACCAAGCAGAAGCAGCTCCAATCAACCCCTTCTTACCTGCCCTATTTGTAACGGTAAAGACCCTGAGAATGAGAGGTCAAAGATTTGGCCCAGTTCAGAGAGATCAGGGGCAGAAGCCACGGAGCAGATACCGGGGTCTGTAGAAACCAGCCAGTGTTCTTTCCTCCCTTCTTGATTCCCCTTTGGCTTAAGCAGACCCTACAACAACATGGTCTCCCTGACCCAAAAGGTGGATGATGGCTTTGCAGGTAGCAGATTAGAGAAACTGCTGGAAGAGAATGGATTATCTCCTTAGTTCCTCCCCAAAGTGGCAGCTCCCAAGAGCACTACCTCCTGCCTCCAAATCCTCTCCTTGCACCTCAGGAAGAACTCTTTGCCCCTCACTCTACTGGGTCTCTGTTTTCTCCCTGCTGGGAGCAGAAACCGTTGAAGTGAGGGTATTGGGGGATGGGAGAGAGAGCTGCTAAGGGTCCATGGGAAGCCCACCAGTTCACATGTGCCACATCATTGCTCGATGGCCTCTTTTCCTGGGACTCTAGATGTCTCTGTCCCAGTGGATCTGTGTGGCTTCCTCTGCGAACCTGTGCTGCTGGAAGGTCCCATGTTTATACATTTCTCTGTGTGTTCCCAAGGAACATTTCTCGTGTGTCCCCCTCCACTCCCCAGCCAACTGCCATTCCTGCTCCTGGGTTCTGAGGAGCTGGGCCAGGGGCGAGGGCAAGGTTGGGGGTGATGGTTCGGAAGAGATTGAGCACTCGGTCTCAGGCCTTAATGGCCATGTCAGCCAGAGGGCCAGTGGCTGCCATATGATGGATGGGGTGCGCGCCATCCTCCACCCACCAGAGCACAGGGCTCCAGGCCCCCCCCCACCCTGATCCCTCCCAGCAGCCCACAGAGCACCTTCCCCCACTCCAGCCTGGGCCACAGCTACAGGAGGGGGATGGGGAGTCAGCAGGGGCCCACTCTGCTCTTCCTCTCTCCCAACACTGGCCCTGCTGGGGGTGGAGAGCAGCTGCCTGCCCTGATTCCAAGTCTAGCTTCTCTGAGATCTGAGAACTCCTGGGCCCCAGGGGACAAAGACCAAAGCCTCAGGGGTGTGTGTGCCCAGGAGAAAGAGAATCCAGCAGTTACTTTCCTGGGGTTAGAATGAGGGCCCTCCTTTCAGCACCCCCCCCCCCCATAAAGTTGTAGATCAGACAGCAAGTTTGGAAAAAAGGGAGAAAAAGGAAGGAGGATGCAAACAGAGGTGTCCCTTTCTTTGCTGTTTTTTTTTTATTGGGGGGTACATAGCGACACCCATTGAACAACATAATTGCCGCAATGTGGCGTGTAATAATAGCTATTCAAAGGCCGATCATTCATATTAAACAGGGTGAAGCAAGCCTCTCATTTGCATGCTTGAGATTATATGCATTTGAAAAGTCATTTCCGCAGGGTGTATGAATAGCATTAATTCCCGAGTGGCACACTCTGCACCCTCCTGGGAACCTCACCTTCTTCCATGCTCCTGCAGGCCCAATATGCACTGGGCCCTTCAGGGCTGGTGCTCCCAAGGGATCTCTGAACCCTCACCTCTGCCCTCTGAGGATGAGAACACCAGTGGCCTCACACCTCCTGCTCACCTCTCCACAGGGTGTTGGCAATAGTACTGGGGTGTTCCCTGCACTGTGGGTAAGCAGCCTCTGGGTGCCTGGGGCCCAGCCAGCTAGGGGTGGGGTGGGGTGGAGTGCTGGAGGTAGGCCTTGATATCAGTGCCCTGTAACTGCAAGGGTGTGGGGTGTAGTGAAGGAAGCCAGTGTCCATGAGAACCTAGGCCTTGGCTAGAGAAGGCGGGGGCCTGGCTGTGAAGCAGCCGGAGCTCAGCCATAACCAGCTGAATATTTTGCCTTTCTCCTTCTGTGGGCCTGAACTTCCCCAACTCTACATCCAGAAATGGTCTCGAAGAGTGTCTTCTGACTTCGAAGCTCCAGCAGTGAAAGTCCTGGTCCAGCATGTGGACATGAAGCCACAGTGTTCTAGCAGCTGGAAGAAGCTAATGATGGTCCCTTTGAGTCACAGCTGTGGTCTCTTTCCCAAAGGGCTCCACCCAATGTAGACTTGAGCTTCTTGCTTAGGTACTGGTGGGGGCAGGCCTGGCACCCTCCAAGAACTCCCTCCTCCTTTTACCTCACTCCATATGCTCCTCCCCAAGTCACTCATTCCCTCAGCAACGAGCAGCTGAACACCCATAGAGGAGGAGAGAAGCTCCTGGAATCAGACCACTTGATTTCAAGGGCCTGCAGTGGGACCTTGGCAAGTCACTGCCCTTTGCCTAAGTTACTGGGTAGTTTTTTGTTTTTGTTTTTTACAGCATGTATTGGAGTGGGAAGATTAGGTCTTTCTAGGACTCAATAAATTGAGACCCTAACCCCCCACACCCCAGCCTTCCCAGATCCCTCTCCTACCACGTGTTGGGACAGGGAAGGGCAACTGTCCAGAAGTTATTTTAGGTGATCTAGGATTTCTGTCTGGGGCTCTGATCCCACCCTTAGGCAGGTCCTAGCCTCCCATCTTTCAAGAGTTCCCCTTAGGTGGGCAGAGCATCTCAGAGCCTTGGGCCAGGCCTCGATGTTCCTGCAGATGCCCCTGCCTTCAGAAGGAAGGAAGGAAGCTGGGTCAAAGCCACAGCCGCCTCTTCCGCTCTGGGGGAGTCTGTGGGCTGCTGGGGGCTCCCACTTCCCCAGAGGCTCCTGGCCCTTCTAAGAACCCCGGCGAGCAGGCCCACAGTAAGGGACGCCTCGGAACCCGTCTGGGTCAGCCGTGTCTCTCCCTGGCCGGAAGTGACGAGTTCCACTTACCTTAAAAACCAAAGGCTAGGGTGCTTTCCCAGGAGGGGAGAAAGGATGGGGAGCCCTACCCGCGGAGAAACCTTTGTGCCTTTTCCGCGGGCCCATATGGTGTAAGAGAGTATTAATTACCGTAGCTTTTTAATTAAAAATCGCTTAATCTGAGCCGTAACATTTGCCACGACACCCTGCGCCTCGCCGCGAACCCGCGCCGACCGCCTGCCCTGCCAACTCATCAATTAATTTTTATTGACGTTTTCTTCCCCAAACAGGCACAATACCAGGGTTTTCCAATTAACACCTCCGAGATCTCTAATTAGTGCAATTAACAGGCTGATGGATGCCCGGAGTTTACCCGCGAGCGAGGGAGGGAAGGAAGGGGCGGGGCAGCCCCCAGCGTGCTCTCGGGGCGCGAGTCTAGAGGGCGCGCACGTGCACGCGCACAGCTGGAAGGGGGCGCACACCCAGCTCTTCGGGAAGCAGGGAAGGTGAGGTGTGTGACTACAGGTAACCTGTATCTGGCAAAGATGGTGGTTCGAGTTGAACTAAGGAGGCGCTGTTTCCAGCCCTCCAGAAATCTGTAAATCTAGTGGAGCTAGCTGAAAGCCTGAGATTAGAAACTGGAAAACCCAGCACCTAGCCTGAGCTTTATCACCAACTTGCTGTGTGACTAGGACCAAGTAAACTCCCCCCTTTTCTTCTCTAGATATTGGGGAAAATTGGACTAGATGTAGCTATTTATAATGTATACTCCTATCAACTTCCAAAAAAGGTTGTGCAGACTGCCATGAAAGACAGATTAAGATTCTTAAAATATAATATCATGGGGTGGTAGGAAGGGAGAATAAATGGACCAAAACCTTAAGCCAGAAGATGTC